ATGGACCACGTGATGTGAAAACCATCCCGCTGTATTCTAGATGGCCTCCGCACACCAACCCGATTATGTCGGCCGTGCGGACGTGTTTGGACGTCAGGCGGGGAGGTCGTCTGGGACTAGAGTCGTTCGGTGTGTCGCGGCCGTCGTCAGTCGGCGTCGGGTGTCGCCTTTCATTTTGGGCCGATTCGACATGGGTAGATCGGTCAGTGGCGGGTCGGGCCTCAGATGCACCAATCTGATTTGGTGGAGGCTTACCTGACTTAGCGAAATCAGTGAGTGCCACGAGAAAACCGGGAAAGTGACGATGGTAAACAACGCCAGGCATCTTTGTGTTTATTAGCCATCGTATTTTCGTTCGCGGGGCAGTAACGACAATAACGATCCTTGTTGATACTATCAACACTCTCTGATGAAATCAATTGACTGACCACAGTGTTGCTCTGGTGTTTACTTAGGTTACAGTGATCCGTCATTTCCGGTTTTACCCTTTTTTTTTTTTGAGAGCGACAGCCACATGATTAGCGCCGCCGCTGCCTGTCTATGGGGACTATTTACGCCTCGCGCATGCGGCAGAACGTACGCTCCAGGTCGGTCGTTGGTTGTCGGAGGCATTTTTTGACCGAGCTCGAGGGACGCGGGAGCCGACTGATCAGGTCTGGACGCTTTGTCTTGCCGACGGTCGGCCGTCGGGTTGGGCGCCCCTGTGCGGGGAGGCCCTTGGGTACACTGTTGGGACAAAACTGTCTTGATAATAACTTCCCGATATTAGTTTAAAGTTGTGTTCTCTGTGTGATGCATATAAAGTTGTGTTTCGTGTGATGCAATAATAAAGTGTGTTTGGCTGTGATGATAATTAAAGTGTGTTTCTGTACGATGAGTAACAAAGTAAATAAAGGTGATAGCTTACATTCATCCACCACATCGTTATTGATGCATTCAAGTCCTCTCTCTGTCCGGTGGAGGGCCCGAAGCTCCCGAACTGTTTCGGTGCACAGAAACGTTCTGAGGGGGGGGGCGATCAGGCCAGCAGCCAGCCAGAGATAGGCCACGCACGACCAGGCGACGCACGGCGCTGATTCAGGTCAACCAGAGTGCACAGACCTGGCAACGAGCAAGCCACAGGACTGACTCCGACCATAGCAACCAGTGGCATACAGACAGATGTGAGTTAGCGGATTAGCCTGTTAACTTCCTCGACGATATTCATAATAAAGTGCAAGCCTTGCAGTGAAATGCTTTTTAATTGTGAAGGTTTCAGTTAGCATTAGCAGCTGCTGAGATCATGGTGTACGCAGGTTGAGACTCACAGACTGACTGGACGTCCGTCTCACCGCCGGCCAACGGGGCCAGAGAGCCGGAGACCAAGAACCTGTAACGGGACAGCAGAACATGTTGGTATTGTCCTGACACCTTTATATCTTTTTGTATTAGTTATCTATTATTCTATATTATTTTATTATTAGTTAATATTCTATTTAGTAATATGATTTATAGTTAATATTATTTAATAGTTTTTATTATTATTTGATAATTTATGTATTCTCTATAGTTATTATTATTTATAATTAGTTATATTTATAGTTAATATTATTTATTAGTTCAATTATATTTATAGTTAATATTATTTTAGTTTATTATTTATAATATTATTTTATTATTGTGTATTATATTTTATTATTTATTTAGTAGTTAAATTATATAATTATTATTATAGTTAATATTATTTATATTATTATATCAGCCATCAGAAGAGATCGTAAGGAGGTTAGCGTACAGTGACGCGAGGCACAACGGGGGGAGCGTGGATCATCAGGAATCTGCGAGCTATGGGCCGGGCGCGGTCAGACCCGACTGAACAGACTACACACGCACGCCGCATGACAGACTCTCAACCACCCCTGGGAAACACACACACCAACACACACACAGGTTGCGAAGGGGTGTGTTATCAGTGTGTGGGTGTTGTCAAGTGTGTGTGCTGTGTCGGTGTGTATGCAGCTTGTGTGTGTGCAGTGTGTGGTGTGTGTGTCAGTGTGTATCAGCTGGGTGTGCTGGTGTATCATGTGTGTATCAGGTGCTGTGTATCAGTGTGTGTATCAGTGTGTGTATGCAGTGTGTGGTCATGTGTGGGATATCAGTGTGTATCAGTGTGTGTGTTTGTCAGGTGTTATCAGTGTGCGTGTCAGTGTGTATCAGGTGTGTGTGGTCAGTGGCCTGTGTGGGTGTCGTGTGTATCAGTGTGTGGTGGTGTTCAGTGTGTATCATGTGTATAGTGTGTTTATCAAGTTTGTGTTATCAGGTGCTGTGTATCAGTGTGGTGTGTGTGTGTGTGTATCAGTGTGTGTGTGTGTGTGTGTGTGTGTGTGTCAGTGTGTGTGTGTGTATCAGTGTGTGTATCAGTGTGTGTGTGTGTATCAGTGTGTATCAGTGTGTGTGTGTGTGTTTCTGTGTACGGGGTTAAAGGTTGTGACGTTGTTGTCAGTAACTTTATTGTAATCAGATTATTTTACAGCGTCTCACCCCGAGGCCCTGTGGTTGCCCCCGCAGGAAGGCGGCGGTCATGTCGTCCATCTTGGCGGGCGCACTGGGAGGGGCCCGTGGGACTGGGGGCGGGGCCTGTGTGGCGGGGGGCGTGGCCTGGAGCGGGATGGAGGTTTCGTCCTGAGGAATGACCTGAGTGACGACCACCACTCTGCCGATTTTGGTGACGGACGTGGATGTCATGATGAGAGGTCAGAGGTCAGAACAGCTCAGAGGGATTCTGGGGGAAAAGGAACATTTATTAAAAATAAGGTCGAACGTGGACCAGATCATCCAGCAGGAGGCGCCGTCAGCCACATATTAACATAAGAATAAACTTTGTGACTGTGAGCGGGTGGGGCATGAAGCAGCTGCAACCTACAGCTCATCAAACGCTCAGATCAGAGAAAGGCGGAGCCAACAGGACCATCGCCATCCACGGATTCTGTGCAGGTCTAATATCTGACCACATTCAGGATGGAACCACCAACCTCCTGATGGAGGCGTCAGAGCGGGACGTCTCCATCAAAAACAGAAAATAAAACCAGAGCGTCCCGGAGCCCATCCACCGGCCGCCGCAGCACATCACAGGAAGTCCGCTCAGTTTTCAAAATAAAATACAGCTACATCAACGCTGAGGCACCAGACAGGAAGTCAGAATAATAATATATTATTACAACAGAAATATAAAATATCTATTCTATTATTAATCATTAATCGTCAGGTTGATGTTAGAACAGCGCGGACTCTGTTGCTGCTGGGTCATAATGGAGTTATGGATTAATAACCTGAATCATACAGAATATACATAGACTATATATTAAGAATAAAGGGCCCTAAACAGAAACTATATTGAGTAAAACATAATAAGTCATTTAAGATTAATCTCGTGCTCTTTAATGTATTTTGTCTTTACAATATGTATTTTTGACAGACTTTATATAAACACTGACAGTGGGTTGGAGACTGCACACTGTCAGCTGATTTCAACATGAAGTAAATAAAGGTTATTACATAAACTAGATTATAATCCACCGAACTGACCAGGAGACCGTCTGGAGTCTTTGGAGATCTCAAACTTTCGTCCAGTCGGCGTCCAAATCTCCTCAGAAGCTCAACAATCTTAAATTCACGCAATTTTAAACGGAGTCTGGTGAGGAGTTCCACGTTGAATTACCAGGAAGTGCTAACAGCTGCCTTTAATAAAGAAGACTCACAGACCCCGAGCCGGAACCAGAACCCCCTGAACACCGGACCCTGAACAACAGAACCAGAACTCCGGACCCTGAACGTTCCTCGAAGTTCAGTCTGCTCTCTAACGTGGTTAAAGAAAGAAAGGATGATATTTTGCGCCATTAGAGGAGAGTACCTGCAGTCTGGGTCCAGGTCTTCAGGAGGAGGTCCGGGATCTGTCCGAACTCTTCCAGGGTGAAGCAATGCTGCCTTCAGGTGCTCGTCGTAAACTCGTAAATGTGATGGCCGAAAAACTTTCCAGCGGAAATAAAACCAACAAAACTCAAATCGAGCTCACTGCGACAAACACGAGTCAGGCAAAGAGTCTTCACATCTGGATTTGTTTCATTTCATTAACACTAAAGAATATTTCCTAAAAACCAGCTGTGTCCCACTCGCCCTGCAGTGGTGCTCTCTCCGACAGCCCCTGAAGGCAGCACAACCAGCATCACTTCCAAGAATCGGCTCCATGTTTACTTCCTCAAAGAGAGAGTTCAAAGGTCACATTATCACACTGCTGCTGCACGCTGGGAAAATGTGGAACATAAACATAAACATACTGAAAACTAATGTTTGGTTTTATTTCCTGTGAATATTGATCAGATATTAGTTTATATTGATCCATTCTCTGTATTCTTATTATATATATATAATATTCTTCTTTCTGACAGATTCACTGTTTCTTTCTGTCTACAACAACAACAACAACAATAACAATAATAATTCAATAATAATATAATAATAATAACAAAAATAAATAATATTATGTGATGGTAAAAGGATATTAATGCTGTTGATTTGAGTTAAAGTTTTTACCATCAAAAGAAACAGTTTAGCCACATGAAACTACGATATGAATTCTGCATAAAGAATGAGATATGACGATGTGTTTCTGTGTAATTTACAGTCCATATATTAATATAAATAAACTACTGTATTCCATATAAATTCTTTTAAAATGCAGTATAAAGAAAGGTTTTGCCATAAGATAGGACGGTGTTTTACTGTTACAGGCATGGTACTGTTCATAATGAACTCAGCACAGGTCAAAGGTCGCTGCAATAATGTGGAACTGTCACATAAATACTAAAAACACTGATAAAACAGAAACGGATGAACTGTGTTTTTATTGATTTGCTCAGCAGATGGCAGTGTCGTCTCTCACCAGGAGCTCAGAAACAGATCTGGAAGCAGCTGTAAGAGGATCGTTAAAGGAGAAGCTAAAGTAAATACAAATAAATATTCTATAAGAGCAAAATGTGTCTTAATCTCTGCAGTCATAAAAAACAATAAAACAATGTTCAGTAAACTGATCTGTACACTTAATTCATCAATACAAGATCATCTACGGAAGCCATGATAGGCAAGTAAAAACATTTATTCTTTCATTCACAAATGTAAAAAAGTAAAAAAGAGGGCTTCCGTAAACAAACAGAATTAAAATTACATTAAGGGCCGGGACATAAATCAATATATAAGAACATCATTTTAATTCTAAATATTAAAAACAATAAATATTAAACATTTTCACATTTTGTAGTTTTAATTTGAGACAGCTTGTGATAAACAGAAAAACTCTCCTTTATTATTAAATTATTAAAAAACTACAAACATGTCAGACAGTTTGGTTCTAACTGTATTTCACATGTTACTGATAATCACTAAAATATCCATATCTACATATATCTATAGATATATCGGTCCCAGCCCTTGTTACATTCATCCTGTTTACATACATTCACAGAGCGATCAATAACTGTTCATAACATACAAATATACCAACAAAAGACTGGATTTGATATCCTTATAGCCTAATCCCTGAATTTAAACATCGACTGTAGATCATTTAATAAAAAATATTCACCAAAAATATCATTCAACGATTGCGTTTTAATGTCTCTGCATCCTACCCAATTTAAACCAATCACTGATCAATACTAGATAGACCTGTTCTCAACACATTAAACCAGCTTCACTGAAACTACGTTAAAATGAACGTCAGGATCAGTTTCGGCTGAGACACGAGGCGTTTGTGTTCAGGAATCTGCTGCAGTAAGTGAGTTATAGACTCTCCTGGTACTGTGACACCGAAACCCCAGAATGAGATTCACTCAAAGTCCGCCAGTCTGACATCCTTGTTTTACGATGCACAGAAACAATTTGAAACCGGTTCTCAATTCCGATCCGTAAACTTAAAGGACCAGCTTGTAGCATTTAGTGGCATGCCAACGCCGTGATGTTTCCTATTCTGGGCTACTGCAGAAACATGGTGGTTCAACATGACGGACTCCATCAGAAGAGGACCCGCTCCCTCTGTAGATAAAAATGTCTCATTCTAAGGTAACTAACACACAATGATTCTTATTATCAGGCAATTATACACTGATGAAAACAATATTATATTCAATTTCTGCTAGCAGATCGTCCTAAATGTTACCCCGAAATTCCACCGGGCACGGCTTTATGACAGCACGCCGCCGCTGTGGCTCCATGATCCCGCTGAGAGCGTCTTTCTGCCTGACGTCTTATGTATTTTGTCCTTTATAAAGGAAACAAAACTGCATCTTTCTCTACTTAAAATTTCTTCTAACTGACATGTAGCATCAAATACGATCTGCTGAGTGCACGCGTTTTTTTATTTGGAAAATTGACTGGATTCTCTGTTTCTGACTTTCTGCCAGTGTGATCTGCTCTGTGCTGCTTGACGTGAAAAATAGACCAGCTGCGTATTATCTGTGCAGCAGAGCGGGATCACAATTGTATCTAGTGTGGCAACAGCTGCAGAGCTGGAACGCCTCGAAGCTGCGCCTGGTGGAATTCAGGGATTATTCAAAAAAGTATTTTCATCTCCCATCAACGCTTTTTCCAAAAAGGCAAAAATGACCTCAAGATACATCAACCGTTTCTTATGGAAACTCCAAAGAGACACAAAACAACAAGACACAGAATGGACCAGAAAGGGACACAGGATCGTAAGACGAGCTCTAGAATTAAGGCTTCTTTCACTCAAACATCGTTACTCCACCACCTTCACCTCAGGATCCTCTGGGCTGCTCAGAGAGGGAACGCTCTCCATAGATTGATTTTTGCTGCTATCCTGCGGACTGACCACAGGATTAATTTTTAAGTGAGTTTTGCTTTGGCGCCACATGTGGAGTCCTCCGAGGATCAGGGCGCAGACGCAGGCTGCCAGCAGGAGGGAAACCACAACCATCTCGCTGTAGTAACTCTTCACTTTTGTCATCTTTTGAGCATCATCAAGCAGCTCCTTTCTGAACTGGGTTTCTTTTCTAGATGTTGGGGTGAAGTCAGAACTGCTGTCTTGGAAGTTCTTCTCCAAACCAGAATCTTCTTCATTGGAGATCGTCTCATCTTTTAAATTGGTTGTGACTTCATTACTTTCGTCCTTTGTGGTGTAGTCCTCCAGGTTTCCTGACGGTTTGGTCATAGATATCACTGTTTTAATTTCTGTTAGAGAAATGTCCTCGTCGGACTCGTCTTTGTCATTGGGTTTTTGTTCAGCCTTCGTAATGGGGCTCATGGAGCGTGGAGGAGCATTTAGTCGGACGGTAAAGCCTTCAATGACTTCCTTGTACCCGCCTTCTTCTGCCTCGCAGTGGTAGGTCCCGACGGTGTCCGCGGAGGCGAGGAAGTGCAAACTGCCGTCAGCTGACTGGATGAAGAAATCCTCTGACAGGGTTTTGACTGGATCGGAGGTCCAGGTCAGAGTGGCCAGGTTGGAAGGTTTAAGACACTGAAGCTTCACTGCTTCGTTCAAATTAACGTAGAGTTCTGCAGGACAGAAAATCTTTGAATGAAAACCAGTGATGGTTCTGAGTTAAGGGCCACTTAACGTCCACACCAAGAACGATATTGTTGGGATCACTTTCAGAGAGATTTGATGAATGATATTGTTGGATACAACTTATTAAAATCTTATCAATCCCTCCAGGAAGTTGCAATCGCAACAGTTACCCTTAAGTTTGCCCTATCACTTCAACTCTAGAAACTCTGTGTGAAATCAGGCATTTTAAGCTGCAACAATCCCCCCAAAAATCCTGGAGGGACGATTTATGTAACATACTATCAGGCTGCAAATTAAACATAAAAATACAATTTTGTTATTTGTTTTAGGCTTCTTCAAACTTATCCCTTTTTGTGGCTTTTTTTATTGCCATTATTGATAGTGAGTGATAGGAAAGAAAGGAGAGAGAAATGGCCACAAGTTGGATTCAAACCCATGGCTGCCGAAACAGGAGCCCAGCCCCGATACATGACAGCTCCACCAGGTGAGCTACCAGGGCACCCCTCTGTTTTTATTTTAATCTTTAACCTTCAGTCATTGGAAAAGGAAGCGTGGGGTTTGGATCAAAGAGCACCGGACTTTGAACCAGATCAACCCCAAGAGGAGAGAAAGAGAGCCAGATAGGAGCCATGCTGGTCCAGCGTGGACTTAAGGCTGCTCTGGAGACTTGCTCCATCAATATCCCAGATACTCGACAATTGGACTGTGTTCGGAGCCGACAGAGCACAGGACGAGAGGAGGAGGACTCTGTGATTACATCAATGATGTTTGGTGCTCAAACGCAGTCAAACTGAATGGACACTGTTTATTTTAATGTGAAGATGAAACCATGTTATCATCACTATGTTGTTGCTGCTGTTTACATTCAACCAGACACAGATTCAATAATGCAGAATTATTTACTGTATATCTGGATAAAAATAACTATATATTTGTTTATTTTACTTACTTACTTATTTTATTAATTAAATGTTTTGTTTGTCTATGTGTGTAGCATGAAGGAACTGCAAGCGTTAAATTTTTAATTTTTTTTATACAACCTTGTGTTGTATAATAATACATACATTTCCTTGAAGTCCTTAATGACGTCCTCTTTTTTTTATCTTATTCTAATTTATTTAAGTGTGAATAAAATTAGTCTTCTTGTGTTGGATTCTCTTGTCTTTTGTAAACTTTGAAAACTCATATCCTACTGGTTCTCTTTTTGTCTCTCTGCGTCCAGCAGTAACAGGATATTATCGTTCATCAGTGTGGACGGACTGGATGGTTATTGCTATAGTTGTTGGTGTGGACGGCTCTGAAGGCTAACTGTTTTCAGCCTGTTTGGTCCCGACTGAAATGTCTCAACAATTATCAGATGAAATTCTATGCAGACATTAATTTTATAAACACTTAACTCAGGTAGTGATCCAAAGTGTATTGGAAATGCTTCCCACCGTCAGTATGTTTATTATCTTTCATTCAGGAAGATCTTACCTCTGTTCAGACTGCGCTTGGTTTGTCCCGGACAGTGCTCTTCCACATTGCTGCCCTCCAGGTCTTGAGCCCTGAGGAGTAAACGGACAGCCTGTCAGTCACCACACAGGGCTGATGGTGCTATTTATTTATTACAGAGACTCACTCAAGATACATCTGAGACTTCACATCACCAGATGTGAAATGCAACCCGTCTCTGCTGCATCTCAAACATTTTAAATAGATCTCTGGAGTCAAGATGAGAATGGGTGAGTGTGTATATTACATACAAAATGCTGAACAAAGTGCAACAACAGAGATGCCAAAGCGTTTCTACTTTATTATTTCATTCTTTGCTCCTGTAATTTACTTTAAGTGCTTCATGTTCACAGAATGGTAGTATGCTGAAATGCTGCTGGATTCTGTTGGTACCAAGCTACAGATCCACCTACTGAATGCAGTAAAGTAATATTTAGTTCAAGGTTGCAACATAAAGTTCATTTTGGCTCATTATATAAAATGTTCTATATGTGACTTTCATTAAACCACCAGTGGCCGTTCAGTGACCACCGCTATAAAGTGGTGAGCAACACCAGCCACTCATTGGTGATAAAAAGTTATCAATACACAAAAATAATACATAAAATACTTCGTCATCCTGCTGGTCCTTTCAGCAGTGTTTTTACACCACCAGATCCTCCTCTCTACCCTGCAAGTACTGAGGACGTGACCTCAGTGTTGCTACAGCCCTAAAGGGAACAAGTTGAGTATAGTAGTAAGAAACTTTTCACTTACAGATTCTCATCACTGGCATCCAGACTGGTGCAGACCCTCCTGGTCTGGCTCCATCCACACAGAGGATCTCTGGCCAGAACACACTGGCTGCAGGTTCTGTAGATCGAGCATTTGGCCACAGGTACGGCGGTCACGCCTTCTGATGTCCCCACGTAAAGCACTCCCTACAGGACCAGAAAACACTGTGACATGTGCTCTGCAACACATTAACCTATTATCAAATATTTCATCCACAAAATGTTGACTCTACCAAAACCAACCTCACCTGCTCCTCAACAGCATTCAGTAAGACATTCTGTTATCACTTTATGTGATTGTGGTTGTGTATCTCTGTGCCGTCAGAAATAATTTATTTACACATAAGTCCAATTTGTGTGCCATTGTGCAGATGACACACCGTTGAATATTTCTGTTTATTTCAGTATTCTTATGTTATTATATCTCTCTTTGATATCAGCGTATGATCATTAGACACTTGTCAACAATGTCCTATTATAGTGTAAAAAAGTGAATGGCTTGAAAAATCTTCTACATTATCTACATTAGGTTGAACCCAATGAGTGTAAACAGACTTGTAAATTAACCTTTCCTGAAGGTGTGAGTTTTACCTTGGAGGAAGAGAGGATGATGTTTTTGACCAGCTGAGGTTGTGTGAAGACCTGAATCTCTTCAATGACCAGAGCACCCCGCTCAAACAAGACCACTTTATGGAGGAATCCAGACTCTGGATCAGAGAGAGAGAGAGATGATGAACATTTTGGTGACAGCAGGATAATAACATCTCTCAGGCCTCATTATGAATATTTCAGTACTATTTAGTACGAAACTTCACCTGAAAGAAGGAAAAGGATGGTGTATTGTTTGCCATCGGCAGCCTGGGTCCTCATTGCAGCCACGCGACTGTATTGCTGCTCTGAAGAAACAACAATCTGACTGGCTCCGACCGGTTTTACACTGTCGCTGGTCAGGAAACTCTTCTTCACCTCTTGTAATTCAGAATCTGACGCGTTTTCCAGTCCACACTGTGATGGAGACACACAGTAACATTGAGTGATCAGCATTTTAAATAAAAAGAGAATGGTATGAACAAAAACAGGCCTAGAATCAACACCTGAAGGATACCTTTTAACAGTTTTTTGGGCCTTTTGAAGTATAAAACGTTTGGTAAATATATATGATATATTCACGTTCCTTCAATAATGTAAAAGACAGTATGACACTTAAGAAGAAGAAGAAAAAGAAGATATACTTTATTGATCCCCTAGGGGGAAATTGTTTTTTTCACTCTTTTTTTTACAGGCTGAAATACACACTT